TATATATACATATACATATACATATATTTTCATCCGTTGTCATCAATTAAATAACATAGCCCCGTATGTTCTGCATTAATTTACAACATCGATTATGCAATTTCATTAAATAACATACTATTGAAAGATAAAAATGATCCCAAGAAAAGAAGGTAATGAAGTGTGAGCTGCGGGAAAAATTAATATTAATTACTTGCAACACTGCATACAATAAAGGGTGAAGAAGGATGAAAAAAAGAGAACAGACATAAGATGTACACGTTAAGGTCATACGTATTGGAGACAATGCAGACGAGACGCTACACGGATAGATCGAGAAGATGCAATGCACTGAATTAAGCGCTTTCCATCCACATCCGCGCTTCCTTATTAGAAGTAATGTGTACGCACACACACATATACACACACACACACACACTGATATGTATGCATAGATAAGAGAGAAACATATGCACAATATATGTCCATATATTGACTATCAAAAATATAATATAACCTATGACCGGGGCATTGGATATAATATGCATTATTTGTAGGATTGTTTAGAATAATGTATTTCCCTGCAAATACAAAAATTAAACAAATATAAGAATATTTGATGAAAGTAATTGTATAAACAACAATAACAACAACAACAACATAATGAATGATAACATCAAACAATGAAATTTGTGATGAAGAGATAATACATGATTGATATTTCATATGAATTGTAAGCTTTCGATCAATCACAGAGATGATCAATGATTTTCATTGATTATTTCACATCTCTCATCATTACACATATCGATTTCTCTTTCTACTATTCCTCTCCTATCACCTCATCTTTATCATTAAGCTTTACAAAAAGACGATTATATGCCAGACTTTTTTTCCTCATTTTTTTTTAACTTTTCAAAATTTTAAACATATAATTTTAAACATTAGTAATGTGAACGGTGAACGATAAATTCAACAAACAAATAAATGTTATTGTCATAGGATTTTTTCTCCAGCGAATAAATGAAACAACGCAATAAAGTGACATATTTTTAAAATCTTATAGATTGTAGTGATAATATTGTAAATGAATAAAAAGCCTTTCATTTTCATGCTTTCAATTAAATCACACTTCATTGATTGAATAACATTTGGTATTGAAAGTACTGTGGAAGGGAAGTTTGCATGAAAATGAAGAATGACCCGATAAATAGGAGGAACAGCATGAAGATTGTTACTGATAGTTGCAGAGGAACAGAATTCATTATGATAATAAGCCGTAACAAAAAAAAAAAATGAATGTATCATTTGAATTCCACAGACGAACAAAAAATAAACAATAAAAAAGCATAAAGCTGCGCATTTTTTCAATCATTAATAAAAATTTTATAAATAAAAAAAATTTATTAAGCGAAATAATTAAAAAAATCAACTTACACGTATAATATCAATTTATTAAGTACATAAAAAAGTTGATGAATAAGAAGAAAGAGAGAGAGAGAGAAAAAAACAATAAATCAAAATAATAAAAAAAAATACACATTTCTTTTTTTGCATGAGTAACAAAAAAAAGTATCAGATTTACAGGGAAGAGAAAATTGTTGAAAAATTCGGACGTCATTGAACGAAAAGTGCAAAGATGCGTTACGTCACATCCTTTTATTACCCTCCACCCTCAATTCCCTCTCCTCTCTCTCTCTCTCTCTCTCTCCTTTCCAAATTGCGTGTGACAAATCACTGGCCATCATTGTATATTCCACCTTGACACATTCACAAACAAAATCCAGTCTTTGGAGAAGTTCAAAGTAAATAATTTCTTCAGTTAAATAACGAAATTAATTTATCATTAATTGCATGAGCAAATTGAAATAATACCTGAAGAGGTAGGCATAATGTTGAGATGTAAATCGAAGAAATAAGCTATTATTTTAAATTGAAGAAATGAACTTTTTTTTTTCTTCAAATCATTTCATTCACTTAACTTCATTAGCAGAGAATGTTATTGTATGATTGGACGAATTTGATGAACTGAATTAATGAGAAATAACAAGCCTAAATTAAGCACATCGATTTGACGAACCTTTATCTCTTCCCTCTCCCTACCTTAAAGAATGTCTTCTTAAGAAATAAGACCATTCGGAAGGTCATAGGAGAGAAATGGAGGGAGAAGAGATAGGAATGAAAAATCAAGAAAGAAATAAACAATTCTAAACGATGAAAATTATCATACAAGGAAAAGAGGAAAAGACATGCGAAATAACATGAAAGAAAGGAAATAAACGTTGCAAGAAAGACATAAACATAGAGAAGGAGATTTTGGAAAAGCGTCCTCAAAGTGTACTTTTAATAAGAAAGTAAAATTCACAATAATCGCACGTATATTTCCATCATCTTCTATGCAACATCACAATGCCACGTACGTTAACGTCATTTACGTAACGCATTGAAATGAAAAAAGATGAAATCACACAAGGAAAAATTTTCGATAATTTGGAAACCATCAGCTGTAACACTCATTTAATGTGTCATAAATTACCAAATTCACAGGCGGACTAATCGAGGACAAATACAAGGAAAAGAAAAAAAGACATCTAAATAATATGAATGAGGAAGTAGGAGGAAAACACAGACATACAGAGGAAGGAGATTTTAGAAGACCGTCCTCAAAGTGTACTTCTAATGAGAGAGAGAGAGAGAGAGAGAGAGAGAGAGGGAGAGAGAGAGAGGGAGAGAGAGGAAGAGTGGGAGGGATAACATAATTGAGGAGTTTAAATGATCAATTTATTCTACCAGGTATGATATATTTAGCATTAAACATGTAGCAGGACGATATGAGATCGAAGTAACATCTGAGCATTTTTCAAAACATTGTTACAATTGATAGAAATCATATTTGGTTATCATATCAATGGGACACGTATCAAAATTTGAGAAGGTTAGTTATCAGCGATAAAATGTTAAGAAAGTTAACTATTTCAAGAAGGAACTGAAATTGACCACTGGTCATGCTAACTTCATTCCTTCTGATAAATCAAACATTTACTCATATTTTTACCAAAAAGAAAAAAAAATTCAACTAAAAAAGAATTGAATGAAATTTTTATTTTATAAATTATTATTATCCAAAATATTTGAAACAATTTAATGCTTTTTTTCGTAAAAAACTTTTTAGAAAAAAAAAATTTCGATAGATTTGATACCAATCAATTTGAACCTCTCAAAATTCCTCAATTATTTCCTTTTACTGCGAACAAAATAAGCAAAACAATGAATTACCAACAAAAACGATATAGATCGATGAAAAAGAAAGAGAAGAGAGCTCGGAAAGAAGCAAAATAAAAATAAAAGATAACACTCATAAATTAGTGTAAAACTCTCCTAATTCATTCCTCATTCAGCTATCTCCGAGATATCACGGGGGAGAACTTAATCACAAAGTACAAGCTTTGCTTAATTACAACACTAATATCATTTGATTAAATCTTTTTTTTTCAAAAAAAAGTTAATTTAAATGATTTTATGTAAATTCAAAGAAAAATAAGATTAAATTTCAAAAGGCTCACAAAACACATACTTTTTTAATAAAATTGGAACAAAATTTTTAAATAAATTGGAAAGCTGTCGAGAAATGAAATGAAAGGAATAATTAAGAACATGGAGATTTGAACGCGAGAAAAAATTCAGTCAATACAAGGGAAAATGTAAAAAGACATAGTAGGATAGAAGCCAAGAGGAGAAGCTATCTATAACATGCCTAGAAATATCCTAAAGCCTAAAGCGGTTAATCGAAAATTATAAAATAGATCCATTTGAGTGGGAGCTTAGCAAGAGATATGAATTCGATAATTTTGATTATTTCGGAGCAGTTAAAAGCTTTTCCAGCCTTATTCTTTTTGCCTTGCTAATTTGAAATGCTCGCTACTTTTAAGGCCGAACAACAATTTGTAGCCTAAATGAAATAATCAGACAAATATTCGGTCAAACACACATTACCACCTATTTGAAAAGATTTT